GGGGGGGGGGGAGGTGAAATTTTGCACATATGTTCCTACCCCATTTGTCACCCTCTCGTTTTAAAATCTTCCCCTACACGCGCCTAGGCTCGCGTACGGCCCTCCGAAAGAAATATGCAAATTTCTTTAGCGGGAAACGATTTTGCGAACCAGGCACAGTACTAAGCTGAAACTTTGCAGGAATATTCACTGTGCATGTGCGAGCTAAAAATTTTAAATTCAGTGGTCGTGTACGCTTGTGCAGCGCGTGCGGTCACGTCAAAGTTTGCAACTTGGTACTGTGCTAACTCAAAAACTTGCCGGAAAACAGTGGCTGAAATTTTATCATCATGTTTGTCGCCCATATGCGAAATCTTATACTTAAAGTGAGCACCGATTTGCAATTGCGCCACGACTTAGGGCATTTCAAAGATATTTGTAGCGAAATGGCTACTTCGCTTACCGGATTAGCTGCGAGGCTGAAAATTCGCTGAGGTATTCTACTTTCAATTGCAGTCTTAATTCTGCTTGGAGATGAAATTCTTTATAGGTGGGCGTAAGAAATGGTCAACTTTACTGAAAAATCAGGAAACAGTGCGTTTTGCAGCGAACGACCGCTCTCCAAATATGTAAATAAACAGTCAGTTCATTTACATACTCGAATTTTATAACAAACGACCGCTCTAGCAACACTTCCACTTTTTAGTGAACTGGAAATTTGCATTTTTTCGAAAAATTTGCATTTTTTATTTTTTCAAAAAACGAGCATTTACCGAAAAAACAATCGCGTTTCATGCAAAAAACTGGTAATCATGTACCTGGAAGTCCGTACGGGTCTATAATGCACCACCTTTATCCCAACCGATGCCCTTCCTCCTGCATGCCGGAAAGGGCCAAAGCACGGCCAATATGAGTTCAAGTGTTAGGCTACAGCGGAGGGATCATTCCCGCTATTAGCGACCTGCGAATTTAATGCAAAAACACATGATCGCACTGGCAAATCTGGTGCTTTTCAGCCTAGGTTGCTGGCTGTAGCAGCGTTATAGCGCTGCGCAGCAAAAAACAATATAAATGGAATATATGGACCGAGATTTTGATACGTTTTATAAGATAAATGAGCTGAAAAATTATCATAACATGACATTTTTTGGCGATTTTGCTTATATGCAAATGCAGCTCAGGCTGGAACGCATCAGGCAAGCTGGTGCGATAATGCTTTTTTGCACCAGCTTGAAGTAATTGGTTAATTACTTCATAATCGTTTCTTAATCGGTTCTTCACACCTACCTCGTGCGCTCGATACCATAAATTATCGTCAGTTTTGCATAAAAGGGAATAAACAGTTTCCGTTTAGCAGTCTTTTTATGCGTTTTTTGCAGCAATGCAGTGCGAAAAATCGCATATTGACGGGAGGTTGTCTGTGTGTGTGTGTGTGTGTGTGTGTGTGTGTGTGCGTGTGTGTGTGCCTGTGTGTGCGCTGCGCGTCTGTACCGATTTTTCATCTCGAGACCCACAAAAGCTACAGGGCTGAAACTTTGGGGGATTAATCTACATGCACGTACGGGCCCGTATCCCCAAAATGGGCGGTCTTACCCGCGCAGTACCCACGTAAGAGCTCGCCAAAGTTTTTTACGGGCACGCTGCTAACTCACGAACCTGAAAAGCTAAAAGGCTGAAATTTTAAAGAGATGTTCCCCATCGAAGTACGTATTAGTGAGCTGAAACC